AGTACTTCACTGCTAAATTAGGGACGACTCGTGTAGCTTTGTGTTTAATTCATAACAAACAAACCCTTCCTTCTAGTACTTCACTGCTAAATTAGGGACGACTCGTGTAGCTTTGTGTTTAATTCATAACAAACAAACCCTTCCTTCTAGTACTTCACTGCTAAATTAGGGACGACTCGTGTAGCTTTGTGCTTAATTCATAACAAACAAACCCTTCCTTCTAGTACTTCACTGCTAAATTAGGGACGACTCATGTAGCTTTGTGTTTAATTCATAACAAACAAACAGTTTTTGTTAGGAAATGTATGCATGTCTTGTAACTTGTTAATCCGTTAAACTTTAGGTTACCACTATACATCTTACTTCATCAAAATTAAAGATTTAACCTCTTTTCTAGCTCATCATTCGTCTATCTGCCCGGAATAGTCGATGCCCTAATTTCCCGTTTTCAGAATACTACAGTACGGTGAAAGAAAGCATTGCCCCAGACGCCGTTGTTGTCCCAAATATTCAAGTAGAGGACGCTAAAAACTTTGAAAAGGTTGGTTCTTTGAAATTAGAATAAAAATTTAAATCATGATTTTTTAAATCGTTACTTTTTACGAGAACTTCTGAGAGGTTGGTTCTTTGAAATTTGAATAAAAATTTAAATCGTGATGTTTTTTAATCGTCACTGTTTACGAGAACTTCTGAAAGGTTGGTTCTTTGAAATTTGAAGACTTGGAAGGAAAATTAAAATCATGAATTTTTTTTCCTCACTTCAAAGGTTCTACAAATATTTGTGAAAAGAAGACGTACATGTTTCAACTTATGCAAATAAGCGTAATTGATATAATTTAATAACAACTTTTTTACAAGTATATTTGCATAACTAGAGAGACATAGTAATGTTAACTTTCAAGTTTCCGAAATACTATTTATTTTCTCTGATTATTAGCTTTCCTACAAAATCACCGAAGACAATTCTCAAGGAAACTTCTATGTTGACTATAGAAACCCAAGAAGGGTTTCGGTTAGGGCTAGAAAAGCACTAGACAGAGATACGATGCCATCCATCCTGCAAGGAATGTACACTCTTACGGTAAGACTCGGATATTTTGATGGATGTATATCCCATTTTCTCCTGTTAAGTTAGTAAACACTTTTTATGATAATAATAATAGTACCTCAGTTTTTTTTGTTTTGTCTGCCAACAATGCTTTCTTCCCTATATAACGTGTTAATAATACCTCGGTTCTCTTTTTTATTTTGTCTGCCAACAAGGCTTTTTTCCCTATATAACGTGTTAATAATACCTCGGTTATATATTTTGTTTTTGTCTGCCAACAATACTTTCTTCCCTATATAACGAAAGTATTGTTGGCAGACAAAAATAAGAAAATATAACCGAGGTATTATTAACACTTCCCTATATAACGTGTTAATAATACTTCAGTTATCTTTTTTATTTTGGTCTGCCAACAATACTTTCTTCCCTATATAACGTGTTAATAATACCTCGGTTATATTTTTTATTTTTGTCTACCAACAATTCTTTCCTTACTATGTAACGTGTTAATAATACCTCAGTTATCTTTTTTTTTTATCTGCCAACAATATCACATTTGTTCTTGTAGTTCTACCTTCTTGTGATACTACATGGCCTTGTTTTATTTTTTCTCTGTACTAATAATGTTACGTTTTTTTTTGTTTTGTTTATTTCCTAAAATGCTATATTCAATTACTTGTATTTTATGTTGTTTTACCTGTTAACAAGCCTGTACTGTACTTATTATTGAAGTAATTCAAAACTAAAAAATAGAAACTTGATAAACTAGCTAGGATTATTTATCGGATTCAAAATTCATTGATCTGACATTAAAATACCAACTACTTAAATATTCATTATTTTACACATAATTTCTTCAACTATCGTTTTGTTGTTTACTCACCAGGTTACTGCCAGAAACGAAAGATGTGCTAGTTCTGTTAATGTCAAGATTATGGTGGAGGATGAAAATGATAACGCACCAGTTTTTCCGAAACAGGAATACGTTGTGGAAGTCAAGGAAGTAAGTCTAAGTAAAGGAAGTATAGTTAAAGGAGATAAGACAACCTAAAGGAAGTGTTTGTAAATAAAGTATATATATACAAGAGATAACACTACCTAAAGGAAGTGTTTGTAAATAAAGTATAGATACAGGAAATAACACTACCTAAAGGAAGTGTTTGTAAATAAAGTGTATATACAGGAGATAAGACTACCTAAAGGAAGTGTTTGTAAATAAAGTATATATACAGGAGATAAGACTACCTAAAGGAAGTGTTTGTAAATAAAGTATAGATACAGGAGATAAGACAACCTAAAGGAAGTATTTATAAATAAAGGAAGTATAGATACAGGAGATAAGACTACCTAAAGGAAGTGTTTGTAAATAAAGTATAGATACAGGAGATAAGACTTCCTAAAGGAAGTATTTATAAATAAAGGAAGTATAGATACAGGAGATAAGAATACCTAAAGGAAGTGTTTGTAAATAAAGTATAGATACAGGAGATAAGACTACCTAAAGGAAGTGTTTGTAAATAAAGTATATATATACAGGAAATAACACTACGTAAAGGAAGTGTTTGTAAAGAAAGTATAGATAAAGGAGATAAGACTTCCTAAAGGAAGTATAGATACAGGAGATAAGACTACCTAAAGGAAGTGTTTGTAAATAAAGTATAGATACAGGAGGTAAGACAACCTAAAGGAAGTGTTTGTAAATAAAGTATATATACAGGAGATAAGACTACCTAAAGGAAGTGTTTGTAAAGAAATTATAGATACAGGAGATAAGACTACTTAAAGGAAGTGTTTGTAAATAAAGTATAGATACAGGAGATAAGACTTCCTAAAGGAAGTATTTATAAATAAAGGAAGTATTGATACAGGAGATAAGACTACCTAAAGGAAGTAAGTTTAAGTAAAGGAAGTTTTAGTTAGTCACTATATACGTGTTTATGGAGTGAATCATAACTTTCAATCCAAGTCATTCTGTAATATCTTGAAATTCTCAATCCAAGTACTTCTGTACGACTTCGAAATTCTCAATCCAAGTCCTTCTGTAATACCTCGAAATTCACAATCCAAGTCCTTCTGTAATACCTCGAAATTCTCAATCCAAGTCCTTCTGTACGACTTCGAAATTCTCAATCCAAGTCATTTTGTAATACCTCGAAATTCTCAATCCAAGTCATTTTGTAATACCTCGAAATTCTCAATCCAAGTACTTCTGTAATATCTTGAAAT